TTGAATGCTCACTAGATTAATGTCACACATTCAGTATATCTCAGTCACAAGCACTTTGCAAGGTAGATCCTATTATTCCCATTTTTATGTGGATAAGGCTCAGTGGAGTTCAGTGATTTTCTCAAGATCACCCAGAGCAGAAATTCAACCCAGGTCCACTTGATACAAAACCCAATTTCTTTCCACTTTGTTTAACTTTGGCTCAACAGCCAACCCACTGGAGGCTTGAACCTCCAGCAGCCTCAACATGAAGTTTAACTGTCAAAGACCTGACTGCAAAGACTGATTCAACCTAGCACTTTCACACACCCACTTCATGTAACCCTCACAGTTATGTGCAAGGTAGGTATCATATCCCCATTTGACAGGGCAGGAAACTCAAACACAGGACACTGACTTGTTCATGAGATTCAGTGACACAGCTGGACTTACAGCTCGGCATTTAGGTATCATGACTCCCGATTTGCTTCCATGGTTATGGGCCCAAGAAACGCAAAGAGCCATTTCTACTTCACTTGGTAGGCTATGGTACTATGAACTTCAGAACTGTTCTTGTGGAGAAATTTCATAACTAATAATTGTCATCAAATGAACCAGAAAACAAAATTTCAAGACATTAAAGATTTGCACAAAAGCTAGCAGTCTTTTGTCATTCAAGACTATATTAAATAAAATTCAAATCAATGTCTCTTAAAAAAACACCTTCTAAGGAAGCCATGTTAGTTCCTCTGTGACATAGAATTATGAAAAATAAATGTTATTCAAGGAGAAAATTTAAGAAAAACTACAGTCTGCCAAGGACATAAAATTGTACTATGTTGTAAGTGTGTCACCAAGGAAACTTACCTCTCAGCTTTCTCCAAGTATTTCCAAGATTTGTCATCATTACAGCATACAAGTCACCTTGACCAAGTATTTGGGAGGCAGATTTCTGACTTATTTTCCTTATTGCTTTTATTATCTTGAAAACTGTAAGACTATCACTATTCTAAGCAGGTACATTTTATTCCTATGAGTTGGAAAATAATTATATTTAACTCATTGCAGACAATGAGAGCTTCTTATACATAAGAGGAGGAAAACAAGAAAAAAAATTTTTTCAAGACAATAGAGGAAAGAACAGCAAATTGAGAGATGCCTTTTATTTCCCTGCCTCTCCCATACTGAGTCTGACAATCCCTCCAAATTCATCTGTCTCCTAAGAAGCTTACCCTTGCCTCACCTCACACTAGTAGAGCCGCAATTTAAATCCCAAAATGGGCAGGTATGGTGGCTCACACCTGTAATCCTAGCACTTCGGGAGGCCAAAGTGGAGAATTGCCTGAGCCAAGGAGTTCGAGACTAGCACACACGTGCACATACACACACACACATATGTATGTCTTGCTATACAGGTAGACTAGCCTATATATATGTCTTTACATATATGTGTGTGTATAGATATACATACATGTTTTGCTATAAAAAAAATTAGCCAAGCACAGTGATACACACCTGTAGTCTCAGCTACTCAGGAGGCTGAGGTGGGAGGATTACTTGATCCTAGGAGTTTGAGGCTGCAGTCAGCTGTGATCATGCCTTTGCACTTGAGTCTGGGTGACAAAGTGAGACCTTGTCTCAAAGAAAAACGAAGCATCTAAATACTATTTATGTGGCTTTGTAGAATTAAAGACTATGTAAATTTTGCATATAGATTTGAGTCACTCCTAGTCAAAGGACAGTTTTCATCTAAGACTTGTCATCTTCAATTTAAATCTTTTCTTTCCCCTTTTTGTGCTGAGTCCCAGTGGGTCATGCTGTGGCTGCCCTGGCATGCCTAATTCAGTAACTCATGGGCCTCCATCTATAGGCCTCCATCTGTGCTCTGGAGGGTTTTTTTGGGGGGTTTTGTTGTTGTGACCACTTACCAAAAATTACTTACACTGATTCTTATTCTCTTAAATTTAATCATTTGTCTTCCCCAACTGGAACAAAAGTTCTGGGGGGACCTTTGTTTGCTTTCTTCACTGGTGGTTCCAAAGCACCTGGAATATTGTCTAGCACATGGAGGTGGGAATAAACCCTCTTATGTCATTACGTCAGCAGCTACTACAGGCTGAAATCAGAGGTTGCAGACCTACACATGGCCAGCAGGACTGTTCCCTTTGTCATATTGTTTGACAACTTTTAAATTGGGAACATTCATTTAAAAACTTCTTCTAGTTTATCTAAAAAACTAGTTCTAGTTCTAGTAACAATGCAAATGCCTCTCCTCTCCTAAATGGGGCACAGCCTTCCCATTTTCCTACAATTTCCTATTTTCTTCCCCCACTTGAAGGCTATCATTTCCCATATTGAAAGACTAGAAATAGAATGTTACAACACTGGGATTCTTATGCTTGGCCCACAATTACCGTATTTGTTGATGGAATTAGAATTTGAGTTTGTGACTCCAATCTTTACACATGGTTCTTCCAGGTAATGTATTTGTGTTGTGCTTGGAGCATTTTGAAGACTTAAAATGTATAGTGTCGTGATTTAAAATTTTATACAGTGAGGTAGGAGAAATATTTTAGGCTGTTAGAGCTTCCAAGTCACACCAAAAGGGTAGATGTCTTTATCTGTACATGGGCAAAATTGGGCAAAATTTAGATCTCTCATTTCTTCTCGTTTTCTTGAAGGCTCTTTTCCCTAAACCCTTAGAGTTTCTGCAGTGTGCATTGCCCTTTACTAATACCTCTTTTTACATTTGGAATCTGTTTCTCCAAATAACCATATTCACAGAGGTACTGCAAAATCTTAATCTGATGCTCAATTCAGTTTGAATAGGGTATTTCTTGTCACTAAGTTCATATACGTTTATGGCTTGGCCACAGTCTGCTTAGCACAGCCTGGAAGTAGGCAGTTAGAAAACCATCTGTGAGAGCGCAGAGCTGGTCCAAGAAGATCACTCAGGCCTCAGAGGAATTTTTCCTCCTGTTTGGCAATGCCCATAACTTAAAAATCACCGGGAAAGAACAAATCACTCGTTTGTTTCACGTTTGGGGGAACTTGATAACCTAGGGGAGACACAGGTCACTTCTCAGTATCTGATTACCTAAATACCAGACTAATTCACAGAATTCCTGCCAAGAGTATGGGGGGGATGTAACGCAGCACAAGATGGCCCTTGCCGTGGCTTCACTCTGCCTAAAATGACACACTTAGGAAAACTGAATCATTTTACTACAAAACATAGTAATTTTTATTAGTTGAAATATACTACATTTAGAGATAATGGTATACAACTTTAGCCTCTCAATCTTCTTTAGGTTATGTTCATGTTCTTAAAGTTTTTTTCAGGAAAGCTAGTATATCTCTTTTTAAGTGAGCTTTATCCAGTATATGCGTTTTTAAGCTAAAATACTTGCTTTAACATATATAGCCACTTTTCTACAGTAAGGCTACAGCAGAAAGCAAGCCAGATGAAGCTGCTGCCCTCCTGGAGCTTACATTCAGTTGTTGCATGATAAACAGATGAGGAAAGGAATAGTCTGTTAGGTAGATAGAGGCTGTGGGAAGGCTCTGGAAGGAAGACAGGTGTATGGAGGGTTAGTAGGAAGATACTGAGTGGCAAGGGATGGTATTTTATTTAGGGAAGCTGGAGAAGGAGATACTTCATCTGAGACTTCAGTGCAGTCAGGGAGCCCAGTCGTGCAGATTGTGGTCAGGGCATTCCAGAGAGGAGGAACAGCATGTGCAAAAATCCTCTAATGTGCACGCTCAGTGTGCTTAAGACAGAGCCAGCTGCCAGCAAGGCTGGAAAGGAAGGAGTGTGGGAAAGAGGATGTGATGCCATGGAGCAGCTGGGGAGCAGACTTAAGTGCAGGGCCTTCTAGAGCATTGTGAAGACTGTAGATATTATGTCAAGAGTGATGGCAGGAAAAGCCATTGGAAGGTTTTGAGCAGGGGAGCCACTTGATAAAATTCACATTTTAAAATCAGTAAGGAAGATTGTGGTAATGTAGTAATACCTGCCACGGCCTGTATTGAGCACACATTGTGTGCTAAGCCCTCTGCATGTATTATCTGCATAAATCTTTATAGCAGGTGTATGATAATGGTCACTATGGCTATTCTCATGGAACAGATGAGGCAATAATGAAGCATTTGGTCTTAAATAACTTGCCCACAGTCAAACAGATGGTAGAACTAGGTTTAATAAAATGGTGATGTTTCAAAATCCCTTACTACCTTTCATGAAGTATCACAGCATAGATCCTAGATATGAGATTCTTTTTTTTATTCATTTTACATCATTGTAGCCCTAAATTAAAGGAATTTTAAGGCTTATGTAGCTTACACATTATGATTTTTCCTCTTTCTGGTTATTTTTCAAGTGTTAGAGTGGTATTTTCATATACAATCATGTATCCGATTGTAGAGAAGGAAATGTAAAAGAAACACCCCAAAATGAAACCTCTTGATAATCCTATAGAAAGAACTTAGGTTCTTGACTTGTGGATTCAGAATTGTATCTCAGTATCATTGATTTTTTTTAGTCACCTTATGAAAACATTATTCTGACAAAAGAGTCCATACGCTTCCTTAGACTACCAAAGGGGCCTGTGAGTGTGGAGGCAGTATGCACAAGATTCCCATGACTCTCAACAGAGCTGCTGCAAATGCTACTGGATTTATTATGTTTAGAGCAAGGGGAAACATGATGGTACATGCAAGAGTGACCACATGTCCCGATCTGCCCAAGATTACCCTAATTTTGTCTTTGTCCAGGTGTAATATCACTCTCAAAAGTATCCCAGAGAAATCAATTATTTGGTCACTGTTAGCTATGTCTGTTATCTAGAAAGCAGTGGTGGCAGATATAGCCAATTGAGTGCTATTGCCAGGACATGTGCTAGAGGCTGCCCACCCCTGAATTCAGACCTGCCATGGTAATGAATGCTTGTAATTGAAGCTGTAAGATTACACAAAGGAGACGATAGAAGAAACTATTTTTAATCATCATTTCTCTTTCACAGCCAAAAAAGAGCATAAAATGGAAGAAAGTCACTTGGAGAATGCACAGAAAAGGTAAGCAGCTCTGATTTCACCCTAATTCTTTCTTTGGCTAGCCATTCTCTTTTATTATTATGAAGTGTATTCATTTTGTTAGGCAATTCTATCTCCAAAACATTTTCACCTTCCGCAACTGAAACTTTGGACCCTTTCAACACAAATTGCCTATTCCCCTCTCCCCTGTCCCCTGGCAGCTACCATCCTCCTTTCTATATCTCTGTGATTTTGACCACTTTAGCTACCTTTTACAGTTGGGTCATCCAGTATTTGTCCTTATGTGCCTGGCTTCTTTCCTGTAGCTTAATGTTTGACTAGCCATGCTTTCAACCTCCTATGTTAAGACTATACCATCCATAAGCAGTAAGCTTCACTTGCAAGCTGGAGTGAAAGCAGTGTAACGGGACTTAGGAATAGTTTTCCTCAGGAAGCAGGGATCATCCAGAAGTGACACACCTACCTCACACACATGTTATGACATTATTCTGCCTGTTTGCCTCTTCCTGCATTGCTCTGCTCCTGAACCGCTTAATGGTAGTCAGGGACAGTTTGATCCTTCTTAGCATTACAGTTAGATCAAACTAATTATTGCAGACACCTAAGAGACATTATTATGTCTTTCCTCGGCTTCTAGAGGATATTAAAAACAAGGAGCAGCTAGAAAGAAGGGGCTGTCCATATGTTCAGGTGTGGAGAAGGGGCTGCCCATATGCCCATGTAGCATATGGACAATTCCCCCCATAATTTGACGAAGACCTCAGAGGTCTTTTGCTCAGCCTCATGTCACCCACTTCAGGCATCTTCCTTGCTTTCTGTCTGCCAATAGACACCAGAGGGGAATCATCCACTCCACCCAGTAGAGTCTAATCATCAATTCTCATCCCTTAGAGCTTTTTCCTTTTTGTTCGTTGATGAGGTTAGTCAACTTGTCTCTCCCTTCCTCATAGAAGAGTGAGTGGCAATAGACAGAGGTATTCTCGTATTGGGGGCTGAAATTTGAGATATATTTTGCTGATACCAGTTCTAAAAGTACTGGTAAATTAGATGAGAGGTAGGGGTAGGAGACAGCATATAAGGAAAAAGGAGCTTTACAAATGTGTGAGAGGAAGTCTCCCAGTTAGGAATTTAAATGCCAGTAAACAGATTGTAGAAATCAATCATTTTCCTCCTGTCTAGCCACAAGTTCCGAGAGTTCTGAAATCCCATAGACAGTGCCATATGCCCTACTTTCACAGGTGCCAGCATCTTGCTGTGCTTCCCACTAAAATTACCAGTAAGATTAAAATGCTGGTGAAACCAAATTGAAGGCAAGTCTTGCACTTTGCTAAGTACGGACATGTTTTCAAATCATGCTTATCTTAGCATAACAATCATTCAAAAGCGAGATAACTCCATGGTTATGCTTTTAGCCATTTGTGTCTCTACTGACCTTATTCCTTTATTAAGCTTCCCTCCCCAGTGCATAGAACTAGCATGCATGTGTTATAGAAACATGCAGCACATAGAGAAGAGATTATCAACAAGGGCGCATTGGTGTCAGGCCAAACCGAAATTCAGTTTCCGGGATGGATGTCAAATTTCTAATACTTTTTCAAGATCCTTGCTGAAGGAAAAGGGGACCCACCGTAGAGGGGCCGAAGCTGCTGCCGTGCATTAGCTATGCAGAGGGCAGTCATAAATTTTGGTTGTCAGCGTTTTCTGTGGCTTTGTGGTGAAGGTAGTCTAGCTTTCATGTCATACATCAAATATGTTATATCCCATCTGTAATGTAGAAACCACGGTTGTTTGGTTTCACTCTTTAAGGAGGTTGTGGTCAGTGTTGCAATATTTGTGCGAGATCTAGTAAATTCTTATGCTTTATTCTCAAGAGAAACAATTTACTCTGAGGGTAAGGAGTATTTGCTTTTCCTAAGCAGTTTCTGAAAGACATGCATGTAAGACAGTAAGTGGATGTGTTTCGCTTTGGCATCTCAGCACTGTAAAAGTAAAACAGTTCACTTTGCTATGGGATCTTTGATGTAATCATTGTCTGTACTTTATAAATGTTTGGCCGAATTAAAAAGATACAAATCAGACAGGAAATTATAGCAGAGAGAAAAGGGTCAGAATAGTTTGCAGTGAAAAAAGTTACATAAAACAAAACATATGATTAGAAATCAATCTTTTAAAAGTTGAGAGCCATTTTAGAGCTGTCTGCTGACAAATAGAAGTTTCAAATCACATCATTGACCTTTGTTTCCTGTATATCGGAGAAAATTCTCCTGGTTGTTAAATATCAGCAATTTTCTTGCCCAAATTGCAAAAGATTTTCAATGATCAGCCTTCTGTGAATCAAAACTGAATTTAAAAGTGGAGTTTTGTGTAGGAAAGGTAACAGTCTAGACCTTAGCTGATCACTGTAGGTTCGTACTCTAGCTCTTGGCTTTTTCTTAAACAATAAGATAACAATGAAATCAAATAAGGCACATACTGGAAGTGACTTTGTGTTTTAAAAACTGCTGAGTGCCAAAGCCAGGCCATCCCTCTGGGACTCTGTTTGCTTTGGTTCTTCTGAAGAGGTTCACTTGCTTTCTTAGTTTCCAAAACCCATAGGAAAAATTAAATGCTAAAATTTAGTATTTCTCTTAGTGTTCCCCAGTCTTTCAGGGAGAGTAAGCAAGCAGGACCTCACAAATCCCTGGGGAGAGAGGCAAGGATGGCAAAGGTTAGCTTCAGTTTAGAGTTGGGAAAAATCGAGGCCTCAGGAAAATGACGTGCTTTTCTCAGGACCTGAGACAACCACCACATCACACTGTCATGCTCTGAAACTACACCAGGATTTACAATATGTTGATCTCACAATCTAGACTCCAGGTAAGGCTAGAGGTGTCAGGTGATCCATGAAGCGTAGTAACTGGACTCCACTATGTTCTGCTGGAAAATTGGAAGATAAGTTGTTCCTCTAAATACTAGAAATGCAACTTTCCCTTCCCCATGAATGCTCAAATGAATATGTATCTGTATAGAATGTACACATAAGAAAGAAAAAATCATCATGTGCCCTCCCCGGGGTAACGCATGTTATGTGTGATACAGAGGCCAACTATTTCTAAAGTAGAAAAGGGTGGGGGAGAACACCTATTTTGTCTCTTAAATGCCTGTGTTACCCAGCATGAGCAACAGGAAGATAGAGCAGACAAAACGTTTCACAGAAAATCAGGGGACCCGAGTTCTAGGCCCAACTCCATCAGTGAATAAGGTCAGGCACTCTTTCCAGGCCTCTGTTTTGTCATCTGTAAAACGATAATTTAGCAAGTCATCCTGTAAATTCTTTCCCCATCTAAAGTCCTGTGACTTTATAGGAAATGCATGGCCTGTTTCTATAGGCTATTTAACTCTCTGCTTTTATATTCCCATGCTATGATCAAAATAATTTTCATTGGAATGAAATAAAGTTACATGCTGTGGAGTATACATTTGGTTTTACCACTATTTGGACTGCCATGGAGTTAAGGGTTATGTCTGGGGCAAGAGTGGACGTTGGCACTTTCTTCCCTTACTGGTTGTGCTTCACATTATGTGTGTTTGGAATTATAATAGAGTCCCGTGAGAGATTACTGCAGTTATTGCCTTTCTCCACTTATGCACTTCCAGTCTTTTAATAACTGGGAGCCAAAATTCCCTGACCAGTAGTTTTAATTTGCATTAAAAACAGATTTATTCTTTACAGAAGCACAAAGAATTTATGGGAGTCAGAGCTGCAGTTCCAGCTTGGATCTCGCCTAATCGTAGCCATGGAATCAATTAACAGTTCATCTGTGAAATGTGATAAAATCTTATGAGATACATATTGCCCAATAACTTAGAACGAGATGAAAGTATGCTCCATAATAGTAACAGGGCTTCAGGGTTTTACAATCGCCATTGAATAGAGTTCCATTAGAAAATCAGCATTCAGGATGGCCACAAAAAAAAAAAAAAAAAAAAAAACCACTGTGTCTGTGTCTGAACAGATGATCAAGCATTGAGTAATAAACCTGGCCAGCCATTCCTGCTTTGATTAGTTTCCAACACCCTGGAAAAGGGGGCCATTTATTTAAGTGTTCTTGCTCATGGCAAATGAGCTTATGAGGCTTGGGGTAGGTGGGGGTGAGGGGGAAAGATTAGTTCAGAGCTATAAATTGCTGCAAAGCTAGTGCCTCCAAGAAGGGCTGCTTGGGAGGCCCAGGTAGTCTGGTGTGCAGTGAGCCTTGCCGAGGTACATCTTATTGGTATCTTGGAGTCCACTCTGGAAAACTAGGGTTCTTTTCTGATGAGATTGGACATCATTTTTCATTATCAGAAATGATTTTTCATCCAAAACTTGCTATGCCCACAACTATCTATTTTTGTATATTTGTGGTTTGTATTCTTTTATCATATTAAGCTTTAAAAGGTAGCCCTCTTAAAGATCATGTCATCTACATCTCTTATTTTACTCTTGAGAAAATTCAAAGTCAAAGATGCTGAGTGACTGACCCAAGATTACAAAGGCAGTATATGACAGAATGATAGAATGGATTTTCTTGCTTTTCTGTGAAACATTTGACAGGTTAATTATTTCCAACGAGCTATCAAACTGACCACTGTTAATATTACAGTGTTTCATCAGCCTTTCATGTAATCACTAAACATCAAATGAAGAGCAGGGAACAGACATGGATCTGAGATGAACAAACTCAGGAAATTTTACCTGTACAACCCCAGAAATTATACATGCTGATTTTATACAGATAAGATGTGCCCAGGAACATCCCAATCAGGTTGCATTACTTGGCAAATTAGTGTGGGCAAATACATTTTCTGAGGCTTAGAATAAACTTCAGTTAACTATGAGCCCCAGCTTCTGTGTTAGAGAACAAACCCACAGGAAACTACCCCCAGTGTTCCCTCTCTAATGGGTTTTGGAATTGACAATTTCTCACCCTCTGCCTCATTCCATTTGCCCCTCTACCTGTTGCAGTTTTGAAACAACAGTAGGATATTTTGGGATGAAGCCAAAGTCTGGCGAGAAGGAGATCACACCCAGCTACGTGTTTATGGTGTGGTACGAGTTCTGCAGTGACTTCAAGACAATTTGGAAACGGGAGAGTAAAAACATATCTAAAGAAAGGTAAGGTTCATATAAAAATTTTAATGCCTCCTTCAGGAGCCTAGGAAACTACACTCTTAAACCTAACAAAGTGTGTCTATTTCACACGGGTTGATGTTTTCTTATGGATAAAGTGGTCATCGAGGAAGGACTTTTGCCTCAGGTATCATAGGGAGAATCGGGGAAAGCTTGCTGTCCACACAGGCAGATAGGTTACACTTTCTTAACCCCTTCCAATTACTAGCTAGTAAATGAAAGGAGAGTTGTGCTAATTTGCAACAGATTGCTTCTCTGTGTATTTTCATGTTGGCCCAGGCTAAATGAGGCAGCCTTGCTGTCGCAGACAGTATAGACAAATAAAAGTGAATGCTTTTCCCATTAATATACTGAACTTGCATCAAAGGAAAAATCTCTGACTCGGGCCACACTTCACACAGCGTGGAAACCCCGCATTGGATTTACAGCGCCACTTCTGACTCCCTGTATCCTGCTGCGGACATCAAACTGTGTGCCGCTCAGCCCCATTGCAGCCCCTGATTTTATTAGCTGGGGGTAGACGAAAAACCTCAACTCTGTAGACGGGTGTGTGTGTGCGCATGCGTGCGTGTGTCTGTGTGCGTGTTCATTTCCCTTGGAGAAATTGAATTTGCCCCTCTATCAGAAAAAAAGCATTTCTGCTTCATCATTTTGCAATCAGATTGACACTGTTCTGTAAAGGGCGTCATGGATTTAAACTTCCAACAGCTACTACTCCTGTGGAACAGATATATACAAATGGCATTCAAAACAGAGTGAAAGGAGGCAAAAAAAATTCCTCAATGTAAGGAAAATGATGTATGTAATTTTAGCACCTACACTTTACTAACCTTTGAGGCCTGGCATTCTGTAATTCAGTATTCTTATTCTTCACTTTGTAATCAAAGATATATACATAACATATTTATAGACACATTACAATCTACTCTATTTCACCTTAAAACACTAGTTCAGAGGATCAAAACTGAGATTTTTGACCTAGTATTGAGTCTCCAAGTATTTTGTCAGAGAACTATAAAAAGAAAAAGGCCTTCTTTCTTTCCAAGGAAGTTAAAGAGCTTTAAAACCGTTTATCAACCCATCTTCCCATCATTACCTCTTTGGGAACATGGGAATTAAACTGAATATATCCATTATATAGATAAACTGAAGCAGAGAAAAGTACCATTGTTGAGAAAATAGGTCATTGATAATAACATGAAAAAAATCCTAAAAATCTTGGCGCCCAACTCATTGCTATTGCCCTGCAATCACTTATTTAGCCTTTTTAAAGTAAGCTAAAATCAGTTTCTCTGGAATCAATTCTCATATGAAAATGCTGTTCTTATACCCGCCTGGGAGCTGGCCAGTGTGCTCTCCAGGTCCACACACCTTAGGGCTGGGACATCCAGCCGTGGGCCTGGAATCCACAACTTTTGCTTTAGAATTTGCACCTCAGATTTTGAGCACAGTCCTTAATGTATTTATCTTTAGGGCCCTAAAAATGGTCTAAAACAAAAGACTAACAGAAGGCAATTAGTTGGTTTTCATTTTAATAATCTTCTGTTGAAATACTGAACCATATTCCAAATTAAAGAGTTTATATCACCAAATTAGATCAAAGAAATTGTCTTTCATAGAGGTGGTATCCAGAAATCCTTAAAAATGACAGTATCTGCGATTCCCAGCCATGGGTGTTTGCGGCATTGCTTCCTGGGTGCAGCTGTTGAATTGCCTGCTTCACACTCTGTAAACCAACACCTTTACAGGGTCATGACTTCACAAGACCCTTTTCATTTCTTCTCATTTAGCAGTTTCAGGGGACCCTTCATTCCAGCCATGCTCTGTGAGGACGGATTGCCAAGGTGTCCACCGTAAAACATCTCAAAGTTGATGATGGCTAATAAAATTTTTTTGGAGGCAGCAGCATAGTTAGGAAAATGTTAAGAAATATCAGCACATTATGTGTCTTACTGCCAAACCAGGTATACAAACTGATTAATATCCAGGGTTTTCTTAAAATCCTGAAGTGAGAACTTTGTTAAATTGTTCTCTATCTGCTAAAGATTTTAGCTTCTTAGCTGTTAGAATCACACGTTCATTTTGGTAAAATAAGCAATTAAATTAAAAAAAGTTGCTTTGTTTTGACATCTGTTAATGATATTTGATATTATAGTTTCAATTATAATTTCCCCAGAAAACCAATATAGTCCAACAACACTAAAAGTCAGGAGGTAACAGAACATTAACAAAGTCATCCTAAAAAATAACCAAATGAAACCTTGATCATGTGTCATTATAAGGAAAAAAACTAGTTTGGGATCCCATCAGAAAAAATTAACTCATTTTTTAAATATATCTGTAGGCCAACTAAGTGCTCAAAATCATTGGCAAAATTAACAATCAATAGTAGCATTTTTAAAGGGATGGGTTTCATGAAAAATAGTGTTTGTTTAAATTCTACTTCCAAATGAAATTCAAGTGTTGAAAACTATGTAGGCCACTTAAGGTTAATTTTAGGTGGTAGAGAAGACTTTTCCTGTTTAGGATAGTTTTCATGAGTATCCATTAGCTTGATGCAAAATTGAGATGAATGCATCTTCGTAACAAGGTAACTTCCCCTCATAAAATCGGGAATAATCTCTAAACACACAAATGACCACGTAAAAATGTCCAAAGTTTTGTGCCTTGTGAGTGGGCAACAACCTTATCATTAAACTAGCGTCAGGGCACAACTCTGTGGTTGAGTAAAAGAAACAGTATGTCACTAGGGAATGTGGTTTACCTGGAGATTAAGTATCTTTGGAAGAGCAATCTACTGTGTGATGGTGTATTAATGGCATTTTATTTTCCTTGACATTCAAGCCAGTCTTAAGCAAAAGAGGAAACTTCTGTGCCCAGGCACAAATCTCAAAGTGCCACTTTCTAGACCTGCAGTCTGGGACCCAGTCATCTGTCGTGCTGCCCCTGCTATCAGGACTCATCTTTCAGTGAAGCATCCCAGTCCTTTCTCTTATCCCTTCTGAATACATGCATTGCTGAGCAGTGTCAAAAAGACGTGGAGACAGAGCTGAAAATAGGCTTTTTTACCCTTCTGCCCACCATTAATTGGCTATGTGATCTTAGGCCAGTCACTTATTCACTGGGAACCCAATTGTCACATCTGTAAAATGTATGTATTAGGATGAAGCAAGAACTAAATGGTGACTATGAGCTCTTCTAGCTCAAGATCTCTATTAACCTAGAAACTACTGTATAATTTTATGAGGAATTGTGTGTTTCAGGTCTGCAATAATGCCCCTCACCTTTGCTTTTGAGCTATAGGAACTAATTTGGAAGATATTTCAAAACAAGGACTCGCAGGCAAGTTGAGAGAGAGATTAGGTGGCAAGGAGAATTTTCATTGCCATCCTGAAACTAGTAGATGTCTGTAACTACCTTGCCTCACCTGAACCTCTAGTTCTTCTCATAAAATACTCACGTTGGTCTTTGTTTTGCGTTGAGTCTCCCAGGCTAGAGTGCCACTGTCATAGCTCACTGCACCCATGACCACTTGGGCTCAAGCGATCCTCCTACCTCAGCCTACTGAGTAGTTTGGACTACAGCTGTGCACCACCATACCTAGCTAATTTTATAGAGACGATGTCTCACTGTGGTACCCAGGCTGGTCTTGAACTCCTGGGCTCAAGAAATCCTTCCACCTTGGCCTCCCAAAGTGCTGGGATTACAGGCACAAGCCACATGCCTGGCCCTAATGTTCTTTAAGACCACTCTTTTATGGAGCATGTACACAAAACGTTTTTTTCTCTACTTACCTATATCCAACATTTATGATGTATCAGAGTTTATTTTATCCTCAGAAGCAGCTTTGCCTCGCTTTTACCTTTTCATGTAAAGGTAAAAGGTATTTGTGCCTCCTGATGTCCAAACATTCAATTTTTGGTACACACATTTCTTCTATGTATTAAGTCAATAGATGATCCAAGTATATGCGTAACTGCAAGGAGATAACCTGATTTTTGCTGATACTATTATTGGCTATTCCTTATTTATTTTTTTTTTTTGGCTGCTTACTTATTCTGAGTGATAGGACCTTACTTCTAAAACATTCTACCATTTAGGATATCCTAAGACTGCCTCCACATATACACACACTGCCTCCCACAAAATGAGCTGTGAATCTGCAAAAGGTACACAAGGCCTACGGGAGTCAGGACTCGAGGAATAAATTCTAGGCACATAATTCACCCTGAGCCAAAGCAAAATTTCAAAGTGTCATTTAAAAAACCCGTAATGGATAAGTAATGAGTGAATTAGAAGTTTGGTGAATTGTGTATGAAATGCAAATAAGAAATTTCACTATACACATGGCTATAATTTATACCATAGGAGAATGGATAGTTACTTTGTTTTTTCTTTGGAGGGCTGTTTTTTTCTCCCAGCTACATACCAACAGGGTTTTGAAGTTTATTACTTGCTATTATTATGGGTAATTATGGAACTGCTGCACCCTTGACAGAAGATAGTTAAAAGCTGTTGTGGGGCTATCCTGAAAGCTGTTCTCAGAACTCCCTCTTGCTCTGTCACTTTAGGACCAAGAATTGGGGACTTAGAGATACTGTCAATCTACAAAGGAGCCACTCAGTGCAGTGTAGATACTACAGGAGTTCTTCTCTTTACAATTTTTATTTATTGAATTCTGCTTTCCTACTGACATACAGACATGATTTCAGTAACTTGTAATGTGTTACCTTTCTTTTCCTTGCCCTCTGTTAACTAAACAGTTTGGATTCATTTAACCACTAAAGAGCTGCTTATTTTAAAAAACCCCTTAATAATACAATCACACTCTGATTAATTGGCAAAACTTTCAATTTTCCTAAATCACATTTCAAAACGGTTCTGTGCGAAAAGTAAATGCCCAAAGACAAACAGAATTATCATAATCACAAAAAATAGCCGGGCGCAGTGGCTCTTGTCTAATCCCAGCACTTTGGGAAGCCAAG